AACTGCAAAATGAAATAGTTATGCACACCCTTCAAAGAGATCAAGTGACTCTGCCTTCCTTTAGAGAGAGCTCTCATCTGAAATACTGTATTTCTATAGCATTAGAGCACAAAGTATTCAAAAATCTATGGAAAGTCTGTATCTAAACAGAATTCAGTAAATTATGTTGTGTGTGTATGTGTGTGCAGAGTTGTGAGTGTGCAGTTATTCCTACAAAAGACACTAACTTCTGAGTTTTTGGTGAAACTCTAAATTGCCTATGCCTTGTTATTGCTACTATTGGAAAACCTTCCAGTGCTAATTAAGTCCTATGGTGAAATTTAGGCTTTGCAAAGATGAGTTCTCCAAACCCAGAAAAATAAATAAGTAAATACATTTTATAAACTTATTATATGTTATATTTATATATTATGTGTGTGTATATGTATATATGTGTGTGTGTGTATATACATATATATGTGTGTACATATATATATATAAATGAATATTGTTTTGAAGTGTTCAGTTTCAGTTCTAACACTGCTATGGTTTCAAAACTCCTTTCTCAAGGCCCTCTAACATGTTATATTAAAAAAAGTTGCCAAACTGGTTTTAACACATCTTAGAACTGATAAGCAAAAGTTTACTAAAGCAGTTTTGAATAAGATAAACACAGAATGCTTCTATAAGTTTTCTCAAATTCAGCAGCACTTTTGGATGAAGGGCTATTAAATAAGCCATAAACTTCCAAAGCCACGAGAGATAAGTGAAGGCATTTCTCTTTTTGTAAAATCCACAACTTCTTGGGAACTGTCTTTGACATCCTGTTGGAATGAATAGCTTCAAACCTGTTTTGTGGGTATTATAAAGGACTGAGTGCAAACAGTAAGGGGTTGTGAAAACACATTTTCTAATGTAAAAAACAAAGTCAACTGTTAATATTGTGTTGACTAACAACTCCAATAAACAATAATGTTTCCAATCTTTCTTGTGAATCTTAGTTAACTATTTAATCTTAAAAATTTTTTCATTTAATGATGTGACCCTGTCCATGATGATAAATTCAGAGGTTCTTGCTCATTTGCATATTTTTGGTTGTTAAGATTTGTAATTTCATAAATAATGATAACATCTATTTACGTAGAAAAAGTAGGATAGCCACACTGAGTATTACCTTCCCCACAAGGAGCATTAGGAGTTTATTTCCACAGAAGGTACAAAAACAAACTCTGGCAACTCTACGAGATTGTGGAAATTAAATTCTATAAATTCACATTGAACTGAGCGCCTTCTCTCATTCTACACATACAGAGTCAAGAAAATTTTAAAATCTGTATCAAGATGCTAGCACTATTTCTGGCTCGTTAAAGAAATCTCAAGTACAAAAATTCCTTTTTCCTCTGTACTGATGAACTTCACAATCAGTTGCTCTCAAAGGCTGTACTCAGGTAAGCCCATCCTACAAGAAGAGCCTTCTCTTAGGAAAGAATATGAATGCTCTAGGTTTGCATTTAATACTGTTCTCTCTCATTCAAGTTTTTTGTGGTTACATGGGCTTCATTTTCTGGCATTTTAGAATACTCCCTTAGATTCTAAATGAATTAAGAAACATAGATTCTATTGCATAACAACGTCAATGTACTTAACACTAGTTAACACTACTGTACGTGTTGAAAAATGGTGAAGATGGTAAATTCTATGTGATATGTATTTTGCCACAATTAAAAAAAAATAACCTAGAGTCTATCATCTTTTACTGTTCCTCAGTGAGGGTAAAAAAGGCTCAACAACAAAAAAACCCACTCTTGGCTTCAACAGTTGGAGACTTAGAAAAATGGATCATTTAAATTCTGAGTGGGGGAGGGGCGGAGGATGCTGCCCTACAACCTCCACCATCAATTTTCATCACTTCTTTCTGCCTGCTAGTCCACCAGACATGTAATAATATGGACATGTGAATCTGTCTTACAAATGTTTGCAGCTGCTTAACAGGACAGACACTTGTGTTTCTGACAATAAAGACATAGAGACAAGGATAGACAGGTATTCCTTTGAAAAAGGTGTTAACAGTCATCACTTTCTACAAATCCAATCCCAAATGTCAGACTACCCATTTCTCTCTAAACTAGACAACTTGTGTTTAGAGCCTACAGCTTGCCTTGCCTTAGCTCTGACTATGCAGCTGCCTTGAAAAGGACCAAAGATTCTCCTCTTGAGAACAATGCCAAACACCTCACCCTGGGTCTGCCCAGGGCCTGGGGTACTGTAGCCTCCTCAACATGCTTTGGTGGACAGAGGGTGAGTCACTAAGCCCCACATGTAAGTGTTTCAACCCAAACCTCCTTCCTACCTCTCAGGGCAGAGGACTTCTGACATATCCCTCTAATTCCAAACCAGTGCTAAATTTGGAAAGCAGCAGGTCATCTGGGCAAAAACAACTTTAAGCACTGCTTATCAATGACTGTCCATCAGATACAAAGACAAAAGAACAGGTTGAAAACAACACACGTAAAGCAAGAATTTTTGCTCTCCTGAGGGAAGACAGGAGGCTCAGGGGGAGGTCTCAGACTGTAGAATAAACTGGCTAAGGCGTTGTAGGTTCCCCAAAAGGATCCATATCAGAGTGGCCTGTACATCTTATTAAAACCGTGGACTGACAGCCCAGAGATTCTGATTCAGTGCCTATGGGGTGGGAATCTCTCTACCTGAGGAGTTAAAGCACTTGGGTTAGAAGAGTGCTGATTCAGTAGATTAGCTTTAACTAAAACCCCAGTGATGATTACCTTACATGCTTTGTGAGGAAGGAGGAGAATTTTGAAATGATATGTCTGTATCATCAGATCTCATTTCATCAGATTATATATATATATATGTAAATTCTAATTGTGAATGTTCCCCAAACTGGTTCTCTGCCAAGTTCAAATTTAGGAATTCACTCCACACCTCTGACCAATAATCACTTACTTCTGTGCAGATGACTCACATCTCTGCTCTCAGCTAAGGCTCATCCATCTTCCCTGAATCACCTGAACCAGCTGCCAATCACAGCTTCAAATTCTAGTTCATAAATTAACCCTCCATTTACCTTGAACACTAGCTTCCTTTTTTAATTTCTGTTGGCAGTACCACTGCTCAAGGCACCTATTAAATCCCTGGGTCATCTTGGACTCTTCAAGTCCACTGCACTCCATATCCAAACACTATAAAATACTGCCAATTTTCCTTTTATAACAACTCACAAAGCACTGCCTTCCAACTGATCCCATTGGCACTACTCTCATCCAGGTCCCCTTGAAGCCCCCAAATAGCCATGCATGGTCCCCAAACTCTCACTCCAATCTAACTCCAAGATTAACCTTCCCCAAATCCAAATTTGACCATGCATTTCCCTTGCTCAAAATGCTGTCATAATTCTCCATTACCTGCCAGATAAAGTCCTAACACCAAACTTGACCAGGCATTCATGGTCCTTAATTGGTCTGTCCCTAACCTATCACTTAAATTTCATACTTGGTCCATCTCCTGTTGCAAAGTTGATGTATTCAAATTTCCCAAATGTGCTCGCAACTTCCTGCCTCTTAACTAATTTCTACCACTAGACATGCCCTTCTCTCTCTGGCCATAAAATCAGGTCCATCATCCTTTAAGTCCTAAGTTCAAGTCTACCAACTCCCTGTGTAGCGCTTCTTGATGGCTGCCACCTGACAGCTACCATCCCAGAACACACCCAGCACCCTGCAACATCCAAGCCTCTCTTAAGTAAGGGTGTGCCCTCTCCCTCTTACCTTCCTTCACACACTCTGCTCTCTGCCCTTCTTGAAGTTGTGGGGGGGCACTTTGTGACCTGTGTCACTGACAGTCAACCATACACTGACTGTCTGGCATCATCTCCCTAAAGAGAGCAAACCTTCATTCTTACACAGAAGCAATACAGGTTCATTGCTAACATTTTAGAAAATAAATAGAAGAAAAAGTTTTTTTAGTCTCTCTTTATTTCAGTTCCCAACTCAGTGTAACTTTCATCTATGAATCCATCATCTCTGCTTAGGCATATTTGCACATATTTTATTCCTGGTGTTTTTATTTAACTCCTGAACAGTTAAATTTCTCACATCTGTCATTTAGTTGTAGGTCCCAACTAACCCAATGCATATTCGACTCTTTTAGAAACATGAATATGCTTCTCTGTAATCTCCACAGTTTCACACAGTCCTATACATAGAGCAGGTGGCTAAAATGTTTAAGGTGTTATGTTTATTGGAGACATTTTGGGGGTGGCAGTGAGTAAATGGTTACAAATGCATCATCCAAAAGGGTCTATATGAAAATCTACCACACAGAAAATTTCTTGAAAAGTGCCCCCCAAAAATTATGTAACAAATGTTTTAGATATACAAGAACACATCACAGTAATAAGGACCCTATTATTCCTTTCTTATGTGATATTCACTCAATTCAGTTTGTCTTGAAAGTCTAATTTATAACTAAAATAAAGATCATCCTCTACACAAATGTTTCACGAATTCAGATGAAATGTGAGGGTTGGAAGGAGAAAGGACAGGAGGAAAAAGGCTGTCAGTTCATTGTTTTGCTTAAATTTTCCATTTCTATAGCAACAATTCTGGTTTGAAGCAAGATTTTAAAGTCTATCTCACACAGAAGGATATCATGTTCCTAAGATCATGAATGTATTCATTTTTTTCAATTTCCAGAAAACTTTTGTATAATTGCCATTTTCATTCAGAATACAAGAGTATTCAACGTATGGAATTTGTCACCCTTCAGCTATAGTCATTTTACAGTTTAGGCAAACACCATAAGCAAAAATAAAGCCTTTTGTCAATTAAACTGAAAATTCTCTATCCAGAAAGTAATGTAGAAGTCCAGTCTACCACCCCTCAAAATACCAAATATCATTATTACTTCCATTTACTAATGAGACAGCTCAGGGAAGTCTAAAAAAAAAAAAGTAAACCAAGGGTGATTAGACGGCCACAGTTTTCACAACAAAACAACCTTCTTTTATGTATTTAGAGTATGATTCCATTTACAAAAATCCAACTTGCCAGTTTTTGCTTTCTATGAATATACACTCTTTAACGCAAAGTCTCAATTTGGATTTTTTTATCTAGGGTTGCCTTGGAAACAGAAATCTACATGAATTCCTAAGTCAGCTTTTCAGATAACTCTACAGATCTCTTTAGAGGATAACATACCCCTTTCTGCTTCAGAATAAAACTTCAGCAGTTGCACATTTCTTCGGAGTCTGGGGCTGCATGGCTCTTTTGGGCCTTGCTCCCGAAGCTGCTGTCCTTCATGCTGTAGCTAAGGTCCACTAGACAAAACCAGCAGAAGGAAAAATGGGACAGAACTCAGGAAGGGTGCTCAGGAAGAGTTTTATGCTGTAAACTCAGCAACGCTAAGCTTTCTCTTTGCAGTCTGGCATTTTTTTATTACTTTTTTTCTTGACTCTACTTGTGTCACCAGCATTCAAACCAAAAGCCTATCACTTTTAACTTTGGATTGCTGCCTCTCCTCACCACATATTCCGCGGTGTGAGGTGCCACTGCATCTAGGAGGGTGCTAGCTGGGCTGCTCCTCACTTCTGCTTTGAGGAGGCCTGGGTTTTTTTTTTTTTTTTCCATTCTTTTAATAAAGGCCTTTTCATGTTTGTTTCTCAAGCCTTCCCAAATACAAAACTGTCACTGTCCCCTGCTCCTTCCAACTCTTAAGGTATCAACTTCAAATCTTTGTATTAACTAAGTCAGCGTTCATTAAGAACGCTGATAAATTTATGGCAGCCTGGGCCTGCGTATGGGAGACAAATTCAAATGCAAAAACGTTTATGTTTCCTTAAACTGCACAACACAAACACAAAACGGGGCAAAAATGCCACCTCCTCCCAAACTTTCCTTTCGCGATTTGGTTCAGTAATAGGAAAAGTTAATCCACCCGGTAGAGTAACTGCAGCCTCCTCCTGGTCAGGCTCACCTAGAACACTCACTGCATCACTGCAGCCAAGCCAAACTCGGTTACTGAGGCAACGGAGTTTTTCTTCCCAAAGGGTCACAGGGAAACACATCCCCCGGGATCCCTGGTAACCGTCCACCGATAATGCTGGGGAACCACAACAGCAAGACTGGCTTTCCAAGGCTGGCGCGGCCGCCTCGCGGGCAAAGGGGTGGTGGTGGTGGTGGTGGTGTCTGTGTGGGGGGTGCGCAGCGTCCAGTTACATTCCTGACCCACTTTCGCATCCCCTCCTCTACCTCCCCCTCCCTCCCCCGGGCCGGCCTCGAGGGCAGCGGCGCGTCCAACAGCCCCGCGCGCTCGCCCAGGCTCCCCTCCCCCAGCCGGCGTCCCCGGCGTGGCCCCTCCCACGTCACATGGGCTCGCAAGCACCTGTTGGCAGCCTCAGCCCCTGGCGGAGCCCCTCCCGCCGCCGCGGCGAAGCCCCCTGCGGGACGGGGTGGGAGCCCTGGCCGGTCCACGCGCGGCACAGCACTCCGAGCTCGGGAGCCGGTGGGCGTCGCCTGCCCGGAGGCTTAGCTTTGCAAAGTGCCAAAGCGGCATGGCCGCTCGGCGACTGGGTGAAGGGGCTCCTACCCACCTCGCCCGGTCCCCTTGGCGGCGCGGGGAGGTGAGGTGCGCCCGCCCCCAGCCCGACAACGCTGGCAACCTGGGCTCCTCATGGGCACCGGGAGGGGATGCTGCCGAGTCCTGGCCGCGGCCAAAGGGGCGCCGGCAGGTAGCGGGTGGTGACGGGTGGGTGTGTGTTCCGAGCCGCCGAGGGCAGGAAGGGGGCGGGAAGCCGCCGTCTCAGCTGCAAGTTCTGCGCGAGCAAAGCAACTTTGCCTGCGCCGCGCCCCTCCCCCGCCCCGGGCAGGCCGGGGGCTGCGCTGCGCCTGGGGGCCCGGCTCCGGGTCCCGCGGGCCACAGACCGGCGTGCGGGAGGGGCTGCAGAGGAGGCCCGGGGGCAGGATGGGGGGTGCGGCTGCACGCGCCGGGGGGCTTGGAGACGACGCGCGGCCCCCACCCGGAGTCCCCACCGGGCGGGCTCGGTCCGCGCCTGCTGCCCGGCTCTGCGCGAGGAAGGGGACGGAGGACGGCCGCGGAGCCATGGAAACTGTGCCGGGCGGATAAATAAGCCGAGGGCGGCGCGAGGCCGTCCTAGGCCGCCCGCATCGCGGTGGCCGAGCTCCAGCAGGTTTCCCCCCGGCCCGTGGATACCTGCCCCGCGCAGGGGAGAGGGGTGCGAGGTGCGGGGCAGAGGCGAGGGCGAAGGTGACCCGGCCTCCCGGGGTCATCGGCTGTTTGTTCCGGGCCCGAAGGACGGCGCGAGGCCCTGGCGGGTCCGGCCAACCCGTGGAGCCACGATAAAGCCCCAGATTCGCGTCCCGAAAGACGGGCTCGTCCGGTTCAGACCTTCGGAAGCGTCCGAGGGGCTAAACTTAGGCGTGCGGGGGAAGATGGGGAGCCTAGGCCAGTTGGGGTGCTACACGCTGTTCCTGAAGTCTTGCCCACACCCCTCAGGAGGCGGCTTGGCCAGATGGGGAGGATGGAGACGATGGACAGGCCGGGCCGGTGCGCTCCTGCACGGGGAGCTGGAGCAGCCCGCCGCCCCCCGCTGCCTTTCCCTGGAAGCCTCCCCGCAACGCTCACAGATTTCATGTGACTCACTGTAGAGTGACTGATGTTTTATGTCCAAGCCTATTGCTTGTCAAGTGCTAGGGATTTTACTAGTGGTGTTACACAGTTGAGTCACTTCTGGGTGTGGGACTCCTCAGAGGCAAAGAGGTTACTTTAAGGGAAAGTAAACTACCTGCGTGGAGAAGCCTGTCCACGGCTGAATAATTTAATTACATGCCATCTTAATTTAAAGAGATTTACATGCTCACTGGGGACAGCTGGACAGTTAGTTACATTCTGATGTGCACCCGGGAATTACTTTTTAACTGAACAAGGTCTATTTCGCACTGAAAGTGGGTAACCAATATTTCTTTTTCTTTCGTTTTTTTTTTTTTTTGTGTGTGTGTCTTTGTCTTTCTGTTTTTCTTTTAGCTTCAAAATTTTCAGTTCTTTTACTTCTTAATACTAAAAAAATAGCCTTTGCCCTCTTCCTCTGAAATAACCGTGGAAGCTCTAGGCTAGAGCATAATTCTCCAGTGTTGTTCCAGAGAACACTAGATCCTCAGTATGTCTACAGGTGATGTTTGAAAAAAAAAGGTTCTGTGGTCATAGACTGCATATCATCAATTCCAGGGGACACATATTTTCTAACTTTAACATTTCTAATATATTTGATGGCATTTTAGCATTGAGTCCTAGTTTAATTGGCAGTGTTTTTCATTGTGGTATATGAAATAAGGAAGTCTGAGAAATGCTGAGTGTTAGAACAAGTTGCTTGTTATACAGCAAAGAAATGCAATAAATAGCTTGGTAGCAAGGCCTCTCAGAATTTTCTGTGAGCTAAGATTTTGTAAATCCCCAAGCAGAGGTTATATATAATATGCAAACTTTACTAAGTATGTGTCCAGTCACTGTTTTTTGTGAGCATTATTGTTTAGGACTAGTTAGTATTCCTTTCAGGAAATGCTACTCTAGGAGTTGTGTCATATTTGAACATGGTTAAGGGAAATGGTTACATTTTAAAATGGTACTCGAGTGTAATCAGAAATCATTAAGTGATAAACTAAATTTAGTGTCATTACAAAAAAGAGGCCATTTGAGGAACTATTCAAAGGCAAGACATTCAGCTATAGTAGAAACTGAATCAGGATCATCTTAAGGGAACTAGTTCCAGTGAATATTTAGTTCATCAGAAAATCCATGTATCTGATATCTGTCATTGCTTTTACACTACCCCCTACATTATTTTGATTGGTAGAAATTAACAAAAATGCCTTAGACTGGACCTAAGCTACTAACCAATTAGTCCAAAAAAATTTCCCCAAAAGGTCATTGGAAAAATTAAAAAATGGTGGTGAGTGCCTAGAATTATACTTTGAATTTTTTAAAAAAGAAAAGAAACTATTTCCAAAAATGAAATTTGGCATAGGAAGAAAAAAAAATGCCTATCATTCATCCCTTACCAAAGGTTAAAGGCAAGGTGTAATTTCTGTAAGTGAATAAAAAATATTCTACTTGGCATGTTTCAAATATAAATAATGACATTTAATGTTTTCTAATATGTAATATAAAAAGTGCATTTGTCTATATTGGCTCATTTCACCATACAGTAATCCCATAACGTGGATGGAGCAGTCATTCTCACCCTCTGATCACATACAGATCCATTCTTTTATGTAACAAGCATATGTGTATCAAGTTCATACCAGGTTCCACGCATGGTACTAGACTTCAGTGATAGACGCATATGAGAAAAACCCACTCTGTAGAAATTGATGTCTGGTAGGAGAGATGGATAAATAAAATAAATCATTGTAATATGTAGCACAGTATGACTTTGGGGCTCAGAAGGGGAGTGGCTTACCCAGGGGCATTAGAGTCAAGATTTGACCTTAAAATTTCAAATACCTGCTTTCTTCTATAATATGCTCTCATCTTTGCAAATAACGTCCTGTAGACATAGTATGTGAAATTAATTAAACGTAAAATCAAACACATTGAAACTTAAAAGAGCCAGAAAGAAATACAGAGATTATGTAGCCTAACAGACTCATTTTAAAGGCTTGGAAACTGAGGCCCAGAGAAGAAAATGGATTTGGTTCAAGGTTAGACAGCCATGTAGTGACTGAAGGAAGATTAGAATCAAGGTGTCCTGACGCCCAGCTCTTTGCACTAGAGGTGCTGCCCTATAGTGAGATGTGGTGAGGAAAAGCCTTAGCAGAGTCTGTTCCTACTGTCGTACACTGTGTGAACCCAGCTCAGTGAAAGCCCAGAGGGACTGTTGAATCTTTGATAAAATGCCCCCGTGACTAAGTACTTACTTAAAGAAACATTTCTAAGAGGAACTGTGAGGGGATTTCAGCTATGTGAGTTCCTTAAACACAGCCACTATCCTTAAAAGTTGAAGATACAGTTGATGAAAAATAAATATGGAAAATTTGAACACTGTATGTTAGAGAATATTAACGTATTCTTGTTACTGGTTTAAGTATCAGTGGATTCGTGATTGTATTTTAAAAAAGGAGTTCTCATGTCTTAGACATTTAAAGAAATATTTACACTGAAATTATACGGTGTCTGGTATTAAAATACAGCCCTTTTTTTGGTGGGGAGAAGGGAGAAAATGAAGACTATAAATGAAATACATATAAATGAAATATAATGCCATGTGCTGAAACTAGGAGGTAGATATGTGAGATTTCATTATACCATTATCTCTACTTTTGTGTGTCTTCAAAAGTCCCCAAATAAAGACATTTTTTGTCAACATTAAAGAAAAATGCACTGTTTCCCACCACCCCACCCCTGCCTCCCCAGAAAAGAAAATCTGTTCATAATGTTGAAGTACCTTCTTGTTGGAAATTTCAGAGAGCTATTTTCCCTGACAACTGAGTCAAGTTTAGGGAGAAGCATAATCAGTCATTTTAATTGCTGACATTTGCATAGGCTAGCACCTTATAATTTACAAACTGTATTCACATCAACACAGACCTTTCCTCACTCATGATAAGTTTAGGTCTGCAGCTGAAGGCAAAGGATCTCAAATGTTCATACAGAACAAAGCCTGAAGCCCTGTCTGCACATTACATTTTCTTAGCACTTTTAAATGGTAGTAAAAAATCCAGGGAATACCGAAGCCGGGCACATGCTCACATGCTTCTGCCTTGCAAGATGTTTTTCCCTTTCATTTTAGGTACACAGGAGAGCATGTACTACATTTTATTTCAGCCAGCCAACATTTTTTCCTATGGAATATCAGTCAGTCCCAAAGCCACATCATCATGGAATCTATGGTACTACTGAGGGCCTCTTTGTGGCTGAGAAGAGTTGGTGTGTTATTGTTTTTACTGAAGATTTATAGAGCTGGTTTATAATACTGTATTCTTAATTGTATGGGTAATATATTTAAAACACATGTGGTAGCTACAGTTCTGGTTCTACTTTGAGTGACTTAGGGTTTTTTTGCCCTTTCTATTCACATAAGATATACCTGCATCTGGAAACTATCAGAATAGCGCAAAGAGAACACAATGAATGTGGTTAATTAAAAGGATAGACACCACGAAGGTAATAAGCAAGATCTCTATCATTCCATAAATATTTTATTGGCAATACTTCTTGTTTTGTAGAGGGCTGGAAAACTGTAGCATGGGTAGATTTCCAAGCACATAGAAATGAAATTAATTTCAAGATGGGTCTAATTTATGTGCTCAGATGTTTAGGGGAGACTAGTTTTTTCTCACCTTTCTTAAACAACAGAAAACACTTTAAGGATGTGTTGAGCATCCCTTCCTGCTTTCACATCATGTTTTTGCTCTAAGTCAGTGGTTCCCAGTTGGTGGCTGCATACCCCCTCAGGGACGCCGAATTATTGCCAGGGATCAGAGACTCTTTATGTGGATCAAACACTTTCTGTAGACTGAATAGTAAAAATGCCTGGCATAGAGATGTGCTCTGTCCAAATGTATGTATTTGTCAGTAAAACTACAAACTCATTTAAAATATTTTCTAAGTGTATACCATCACTTTGTGCTTACGTCTCTTTTAGATCAACGAGTGCTAAAAGTACAACTACCGTCTTATATATGGAGAGGGGCAAAAAAGGAAAACCCACTCTCCAGGTGAGTGGCTCTCTTCATTGATTTGGTAAAGCAAATTCCCTCTAGCCTTAGTCTATGTAACATGTAATAATTTTCTGTTGTTTAATTATATAGTATAATGACATTAGAGATAAAATGGTGTCAGGTAGTTCAGTGCATTCATCTGATTTGTTAGTTTGTTTGGCTATCAGAACTGGAATTTCCAAGCATACCTTCCTTGCCACTTTTGTATATTTACCTAATATTCTCACTGTAGTGTCCAGAGCCAAAAGGAGTTTTCACAGTCTATGCACACTATCAGACCTGAAATGCCCAGGATATAGAACTCTGCAGGAACTTAAAATTTGGTAGTACTTGTCAGAAACACAAATACTGTTCAGAGTGCTTAGAAGGGTCCTAATACAGAATAACCTTATTTTCTAAATTTTCTATTTGCTCTTTATACATTCCCCTCAGCAGGGTGCCTTTTAAAGGGACTTTAGTCTTGGATTATCACAGCAAACAAGCAAGCAGATGGCCTTATTGCTGAGCAGGGTTCCAGGGAAAAGGATGATATATGGAGCTCCCAAATCATAATTGGAGGTAGGATTAGTTGGGAGAGTCTTGCTTATTAACAAATCCTCTTCATTTCATTTATTCTCCGATAATTATTTGCCACTTACCTAAGTCCTTACTCTGCAGCTGGCATGTTGTGCTAATCTTCACAGTCGTATGATGCAAACACTATTATTCTTCCATTATACAGATGAGGAATTTGATCCATAAAGAGGTTAAGTAATTTACCTAAGGTTGCATGGCCAGTAAGTGACAGAATTAGGATTGGAATGTAGGTCTAAGTCCAAACCCTTAACCAGCACAGACTACTCACACCTCCTCAAAGAGGAGCTTACACTCATATGGGGCCTCCTTACCAGCTCTTGGTTCCCATGCCTTAGGTACTTGCCTGTTCTTATCTTTAGAAAGGCAAGAATTGCTATAAACTGAACCAAATAATGACAGCTGTTTCTTTAGACCATCCATCATTAACCACGTCTTCCTTCATCACTCCCCAGCCAATAGCAGGTCAGTAAGTGGCTTAACTGTTACCAAGATCATCCGCACATCCTATGCAGAGATGAAACTGGGCTAGTTATGACTTAACCTAAATATTCTGGCTTCTCTTAACTTTTCACTTCTAGAAGTAGTCATCAAAAAGGGAGATTTTGAAAGACTTATTTAGGTCTTACTGCCCTAAAGAAGAGGAAAATTATTTTGGAGGCAAATGAGTGCTAGCTTTCCTGTAGAAAGGGAGATTATGTATTATTTGTCTAAGTAGAAATTAATTAAGAGGGTATTGTACCCAATCACTATTAAGTCGGTAATGACATGTGGAAGCTGAAAGATCCTACTATTGAATACATATGGTGGCTAAAAAATTGGGGCATCTGCTTGGTTACTTCACCTCCCTAGCCTGTCTTCAGTGCTTTGACCTGGAACTCACACCCTTACCTCCTAAACCTTTTTCGGGACCCATTTTACCTCCAGTTGAGGATCTGTCTGGCCATTTTGCTCCATGTAACTCTCCCTTTGAGATGGATGGAGATGAAGCCTTTCTAACCATCCCTACTTTAAATCCTGTAGGATTGTCTGCCAGAGAGAAACTCTTCCCCCTCTTATATTAGGAAGACAAAAACCAAATGTAGGTGGTAGGATGGGCTGACATCCTATAATATCTCACATGCATTGCATAAATCCTCACCACTCCTTTGGTGCAGAAATGAGAGGGAACCACTTCTATCTGGGAGTTGGGAGGAAGAGGTGTGTCTTTGCAAGGCCCAAAACTGGTTTCTAGGGCTGAACAGTGAGGCAGCACTGCAAAGTGCATGTGCTTTTGGGTGGCAGGCACTGACTGCCTTACTCTGGGAGCAGGGTTGGGGACAGGACAGCTGAAGACCAGACCCTGCCTCTTGAAGCAGCTAACACCCCTCAGTGAGACTGAGAAGCCTGCCTGCTCTGTGGAAACAGCTGAAAATATAGCTTGAGGTTAGGCCCTGAGAACTGGCTGCCTGCCAGTGGCAAAGAGAAGCCAAGGTCTCCCATACATAAGACCAAGAATATGAACGGGGCCTTTGCACACCCGGGCCTGACCCGCCTGGCCTGCCTGCCTGGGATTCTGGCTCTCAGCCCTGCCTTGTGGAAAGAGCTTGGCTTTTTAACACTGTTTGCCTTCTTGCCTGAATAACAAAGAAAGTAAAAGGTGTGTCTGTGGCTTTCTCCCCCTAGTTGGTTGATTTGGGTTACAGTTGCAGTTCACACCGTGTCTCTAAATTTCATGCTGAAGATAAAGCAGTATTTCAAACCACAAATCCAGCGGCCAAGAGACAGTTGCTCTTGCTGTTCTTGACCAGATGAAGCAGGTTAAACTCTTGTCAGCTGAACGTCGATTTGTTAACCCAACCCATGTCCAAGGTAGCAGGCTCAGATGAGTTTCAAAATAACCCAGGCACACATGGCTGACAAGATCCCAGTGGGCAGAAGGTAATGTTATACCACCTAAGACATAACTTCTGGAATAATCATTGCTGCCCTTTGCTCCAGAATCCAGCCCCAGGGCTTTAAAGAGAGGAAAGTCCTCAAACAGTTGTAGTGTGTGTGTGTGTGTGTGTGTGTGTGTGTGTGTGTGTGTGTTTTGCTTTAGAGGGACAGATTGCCAAACAAACTTCCTGGTGGCTGCTCAGAAGGACAAAATTCTTTGCTGAAGCACGTGCCAGCATTTGACAATGCACTGCACACAGCGGAAGCTTTTGGCACACACCAGGGCACAACTGGGCTCTGCTGCTTTAGGGACAAAGAGTGTTGCTAATTTGTGCAGCCACTGCTTTAGAACGGGGAGCAGGAAGGACCCTCATTTAAGGTGCAGGAAGTTAGGGTGTAGGCTAAATTGATTTTCCAGGCTGAGTAGTGCTGGTGAAAGAAGGGGGAAAGCCCCATGTCGCAAGAAATCTCAGTCTCTACTGACCTGCCTGCCTGAGGCCAGGTATCCTACCCCTCCGCACAGTGACCTGAACCCCCATGCCTTCTGTCCTGGAGAGCGGCCTCTGGATGGGAACGAGCCTACTCTAATATTCACAGAGGAAACCAGGACTGGGGAGTCACAGCCCCAGCTTCCTGGGCAGAGTGCTGACTAACACTGTCATCTTCCAGGCGATTTCCTTAATTTCTCTGTACCTAAGTTTCTCAGTTAAACCAAGGATGAAAATGGAGTCCCCCTGGAGGCATCCAGAACACCTAATGAATGTTCATGTTTTTTTGAGATAACTGGGATTAGGAGGTTCTATTCCTGCAAAGCTTCATTACATGGAAGATTACATCTTTATTGTCAACTTGAGGCATACACACTGAATAAGTAGCATGGAGAGGCTTGGGGGCCATTTTTGGACTACCCACTTCATGGCATCCCTCCTCTCCCCTCTTCTTCTTTTCCATTTGGACTTCAAGTTGTGTGGCTTGCATGAAGTTTAGTTTCTGAAGACAAGGAGGCTTAATTGTTCTTTGCTCATTCTAGAACCTAGTATAGCCCATATATGTCTGCCACAGGCCTGACTGGGAGAGACTGATGGAGGGAGACGGTTGAGAGAGAGAGAGAGATGGAGGAATTTTCCAGGAAAGGGATAGGATGCTGCTAACTGCAACCCGCTCAGACACCACACCGTGCTCAGACACCACCCTCTGCGTTCTTTAAGGAATTTCAAAAGCTGTCCCTTTGTACTGGATTTTCTTTTCCCCTTTCAAAGCATTGACTTCATTGTTTGGGGTGAATACATCACTTCCTCTTTGGGGGTCTGTGTTTTGTCTCCTGCTGGGTCTGAAATGTCATGTAATTTGTTGGGTTTTGCTGGATTATGTTGGGGGTGGGTTTGTTTTCTGGTGTTCCCAAATCGTCAAGGGTCACCAGAACCCTCGCCACTTCTGTGTCCTGATTAATGATGTGATAGAAATGTGCAGCCCTCAGCATTTACCAGATCTGCATGTATCTGTAACTGCTCTTGGTTCTGTTGCCTTTAAAGGGAGTTCCCCTGCCAGGGCAGAAACCCGCCAAGCCCCACGCTGCTCTTATCTGTTCTTCCTGCTGTGCGGTCAGGCTGCTCTGTTGCTTTGCTCATTATCTGGACTTCATTGAAGAGTGAATCTCCATGCCTCTCATCCAGAATATGGTGCAAGCCTCAGATCTGTTCCTCTTCTGACTTACCAACCTTCCCATGGCTCCTCATAGATGACTTTTTCTGTTCCTGTAAGCAGCATTTCTCTGCTCTCATAAGCACATTATGGTAGATACACTTGGAATTTATTAACTCATTCTACAAGCATTATTTACTTACCACCATGTGCCAGGCACACTAGATGCTGGGCGTGAGATAGGAATTATGAGCTTGACTTCCTGTCTCTGAGAGCAGTGTATAGGCAGGGCAGGGCGCTGGCACGAAGGTGGGGATGTAGAGGGTTAGAAAGACCCAGAGATCCATTATTCTAGTGCAAAGGGAAAGATTTCTGAAGGTACCTGCGATCTCAAACTAATAATACTCATAGCACGATGTTGTTGTTTCTTATAATAGGTATTTTCCTGAGCTCTTACCATGTGCCTAGTGCTGTGCTAAGCAATGCCATTTAATCATCTCTCAGCCTTTGTGCTGAGTTTATTGTCATCTGAATTTCCCATATGAGGGTGTAGAGACTGCAAGAACTAATTAATGAGTGCGAGGTTGTTAGATCATTTCAAACATAGGCAGTGAGCTATGCTGTCCAGGGAAAGAAAAGTTTGCCAGGGCCTTTGTGAACAGGGTCCTGCCTGTATCCGTGACAGCACTAGAAATAAAGTCCCCTCCACCATGTTTCCCTGAAGAGAATTTGTTTCTTGTGTTCGAGGAGGACGTGGGGTGGAGTTGCTATGTTTTGGAGCACATTGATGCCTTTAGTTGCAGGCCCCTGTAATATATTCCTACTTCAGGGCTGTCTTTGTGAGCTTTCAGATAGACTTAGGGACA